CAAAAGAAATGATGGTTAAATTCACTAATGGACCTTAACAGCCTGGTGTTAGAGTTTTCTGTTTTATACGTACAGAAAAAATGAGGACGCTTCCTGCTGTGAGGCGACACTTTAACCACTAGTCACTGCTGTCAGTGTCACAGATTTCTGTGATCCTACAATGACAGCTGTTTACTGGGTGATTCAAGTTATTATGGTTCATCATCTGAGGACACTGAATGTCTACCATACATTAGGGCGGTCAGTAACTTTACTGTGACAAACACTGCATGCATTAGTAAACACAATCAAATAGATTGGTATTTATTCTGCACTCTTCCTGATCACTCCGAGCACTCTACACCATCACCTCATTGTATAAACTTTAGTTACCTCAGATTAACATTAACCATCCCACCAGCCAATTTACAACCACACATAAGCCTAACGTGCATGGACATGCATTCTAATCAATTTGCAATAGGAATCCAGGAGTGACAGCCCTCTGTATACCCACTTATTATTTTAACATAAAAATAAAATATTTTAAAAAATGTTATTGCTTCCATTATATATACTATATGATCACTATATATCATATATGCCTTATGAAAAGGCTTGATAAAGAGGAAAAGATCATTGCACCCGTATATGTAAAATTTATGTAGAAACATGTACCTGTACATGATGTCATGTCTCTTGTTGCTCTTTGAGTGAGGAATAATAAAAGCCTGGCTCTGCGTGGGCTTTTTAACCGAGCGCGACTAAAATTACTGAACCAGAACAACCCTAACCCAGACAATATTTGCCAGTGTAATTTAGTCTGGACCAAAGTGGGGATGAGTTGAATTATTTGGCTACCACAGAGCACTTGGATTGAAACAGTAGAGCAGAAGACTTATTCAGTAACTTTAATTGCGAAAGGACAAACCAGAAAAATCAAATCACTTGAGGATACGGGCTCTGAAAGCAGATGGTCCTAATGTAATTTTGAAAAAATTCCTCCAGAGTACTTTCTGTGCTATCAGCTCCTGCTGTGCCGTTTCATGAATATGCAGCTGGCTGGAGAACAGGCTGGAACAGCAGGACCACCCCGACCCCCCATGTCACCGCAGACGGACGGGGATCTGACAGCAGCCAGGAGGAGCGAGCGATTTCAGCTGGCAACTGCACGCCGCAGCATACGAAGATCAGGTCACACACTGTTCCCGTGTGGATGCGTCTGCTTTTAATTGGATAATGTCCCATCCACAAGTGACCATGTGTGAAAATTAGTTTCCAAAGAGCGCCGCAACAATTTCGTCAGTGCTCCGACAGAGTTCTGGGAAGCTAATTTTTATGACTTTTGTGGCCTCAAGTCAAGCCTAGACAAGGGAGGTATGAGATGGGGGTAAGTCTCCAGTACATGAATAACAACAGCTGCCCCGAGGCCCACACAATAGTCTCAGGCTCTGTTTGTGATTAAACAGCTACAACTAGCTACACTCATAGCAGTCAGCTCACATCTGTATGTGTGATGTTCCTGGATTTTACTCCCAGGAAAACAAACGGAGAAGTCCCTCACTGTGCTGTAACATACAACACCACATTCCAGACTATGATATACTTCTTCCTCTTCAGTCAATGCGTCTAAAAGCCCAAAGGCGAAATCATAGTGGCGACTGTAGTAAAGACATCTCACGCTGACACATAAGCCCATCTTACAAAGTCAGCTTTTCTAAAACAGATGTGAATTTCAAAGACCGGATACGAAGACGTCACAAAGGGTTAAGTTTCTGCAGCATGAAAGGCAACTCGTGTTCTGAAAAACTATTTCTGTCCAGGATGTTACACTAAAGCCACTCTGCATCTATGCAATTATGCTAAATTTGGATTAGCACTGCATTTCCAAGCACTGTAATTTTATGCTAACTCTGACTTGGCACTATGTTCCTTTGTTATGCGGCTGTTCTCCTTCAGCTTCACGTCGCCTAAAAACACTCTGACCTTTACCCCAGATAGGGGAGGTGAAGCAGCTCTAACTAACTGCATATCTGAAACCAATTTAGATTCACTTAGAGCAGACAGGCAGGCTTAATGGTCGGCGCGTGAGCTGCATTCCAGGTGTGTTTGGAATACGTGGAGCCAATCCCCCCCCCAAAAAAAAACAGTGGCAGCATCTAGGAATGTGTGCACTTATGCCATGTGTCTCATCAAAGCACTGGTTGTAAACCTATTCAATCAAAATTAACTCACAAAGGCAAATTAATACACAATAGCAATTTACAGTAATCGTAAACAAAAGCATCTTTAATTTTGGGGGGTTTGCACTGTCGATCGGACTGGAAAATCATTCAGTGCCGATTTTTGTAGCTGGTGAGGAAACAATTGCTTTTGTGCATTTATCCTGGCTAGAAAGCTCTCGTTTGGACCTGTAACGAATCAAGCGCTCCCCTTTCTTTTATACAGTGAAGCGCACAACCTTGTGAAAAAGCCAGTTTAAATGGATGGTGACTGATCACGATTGCTACCTTCTTTTTCAAGCGACTAGCGTATGATGCTGTTTTAAGACCTGCTTACTTAACAAGGACATAAAAAATTTAACTTGCAGTGCCACTTTTTGATGGGACAGCTCTAGTGTGCTGCTCTTCCACACCAACACTGAATTTCCCACGAAGTAGAAGCACAGGTGTGGCCAATAAGACCGCCGATGGCTTCGTTAAGTCATTATATCACCGAGCAGCAAACCATCATTACTGTCACTAACACACCCCTGCTTTTCCTGCTAGGACATGTCTCCCGTTTTTATTAGTTACAATGAAGCAAAAGCAATTTGTCCAGTATAGCTACACGAGGACGTGCACACAGATGAACCAATGTTTTTATCTAGAAGTCACAAATGTAAAAGTCAAGTCAAAGGTTAGTTATGAAGTTCTATGAGATCGCCTGCTAAAATAAATATATACTGTACACATTTCCACTGACATGCAGATGAAACATAGTTTTGTTAATCTATGAAGCTGGCACTAAAAACATGTCACAAAGGCCTGGATTATCTGTAATTTTCTATCTCTTAATTTGAATTTGCTCCTCAAAATGTCAGAAATGTGAAGTCCTGCGTCTGGATAGCAGTACTTTAGCCTCTAGTACTATCAAGGACACATTTTTTTGTTAGTCCTTTGGACTGGCGCGATAAAGCTTTCTGTAATACTGTCAAAACAACAAGCACCATGTTTCAGAGCAATATTGAAAGACAATATTTATTTGGTGGAGGCATTTTTAAGCTGTTATGATCAGCAGTAGAAGCTTTTAGATGAACACAGGTTTGTAAGATGATGAGGAAACCCCCTGATCAGTTTAGAGGTGATCATTTCCTATTTACGTTCACGGTGAGGGGGGCTAAGAGTACATTTTGCACCATCTTACACTGCTGTGATTTAAGTACACGTGGCCACTGACCAATGGTCATGGCGCTTTGCATAATAATGATCATGAAACTGATCTCCTGGCTCTTTGTTTGGCTGCGGTGCTTGTTTCAATTATTATCCAACTTTATTGTTAATGCAGGTGAGGCTGAAGAAGAAACTTGGTTACGAAAACTTTCTGGGATTTTCTACCGGGATGATTAAGAATTCCTCAAGCTTTTAGTGTCCCATTTTTAGAGTATGACTATCAAATCAAAAGCAATGCGAGTGCGAGATCCTACTGTAAATGCAAACATCACTTAATGTAAATACACTAAACAGCACAGAGCGTTACTTTATTATTTTACAACTGCATGTTGAGACCGTCTTGCAGCACTATCGCATCATTTCCGAAGAACCACACCCTTGATTTTGATTTCAACCACACACCTGTAACGGTTTGTGACTATATCTTACACAATCACACCTACCACACTGACACGTTAACCTACTGACAGAAAAGCATATCAGTCACGCCATCATAACCGATACCCCCGACTTTAACAGTGTAACACTACACTGACAGTAACATCTTTCACAAGTTACTTATGGACATGTCACACACCCAAACTTTCTGGGATCGCCATTAAACGTGAATCCACCTCACAATATGGGCTATACCTACAATTTTTAGGCCCCTAAAACAGCTGAGCACGTGTGAAAGAGGCCTTTGTATGTGGCAGAGGGAAGCAGATCCCACCGAAGGGACAACCCCACTGCCAGCCAGCTGCGTCTGCTCCCAGCCCTCCTCCCTGTAGCTGAGGAAACACTGCGCTAAACACTGCTAATGGAAGTTTTTCTCCTGTTCCTCAATTTAGATCTGAGCTTCATGGGAAAATAAAGACATCGGGATGGAGCACAACGGGGTGAAATGACAATGGGCTGGAGGCCACGCTTTAGTATTGGAATGACAAGGACCAACAAGTCGCACAAAAAAATCCTTTATAGCTGGGCTAAGAATGTCTCAATAGCCTGCTTTCATGCACTTCACTGATATGTGTATTGGATTACAAGTATGCCACAACCCATTAACACAGCGGGTTATGAATGGGTTTTATTATGAAGGCATGGGCAAACCCATATGCCAACAGAAAAGGACCAGCTGGTCTGCTGCACACTTTAAACTAGAGCCCATACATCAGATACACTTTTGTCTCCACACAAGAGATCTTCACAAACACACAACCCTTTATGGGACTATAGATCATATGAGATTTTAAACTTAGAAAAACTTATAAATTAATATTTAATCAAATTTCTTTTGTTACTGATAAAAGAAAAAAACAAACCCTCATATTTAAATACTTGAGTCATTTGCAGATGGATGGAGATGAACTGATAAAAGTGATGAAATATTTTCTTTGCTTGAAAGGTGTCAGGTTGGGACGTCTGTGTAAACTATTCACGGGGCGCTTAATTTCTAATGTTTAATGTTTTAGCTTTAGTTTTATTCTTAGCGTAGCGGCAGGCAGACAGAGCGGGGATGCAGGAGAATGAGCGCTCCGATGGCAGGGTGTGGAAGCAAGTTTAAGCAGAGCAGAGGGGGAAATATTGTGTATTTATGGGATTTATACTCACCTGGCTTCAGACTGCTGTTAAAGTAGAATATGACCATGACGAAACATCCCAGGGACAAGGCAAAAACCATCCGGATCACTCTGGGTTTCCTCATCCTGAGAGTCTCTGGAAGCCACCGAGAAGCCGAGCCCAATCCTGCCAGGGTTCAGGCGAACTACACGGTTTTTGTCGAGTCTACTTCACCGGCCGTGGGAGCATCGATCCGGCTCGCTGCTCGACCTTTGCCGCTCCTTATCTTCCTGGACATCCTCGCATGCCGGGTCAGGAGGAGGCAGCGGTGAGGGAGGACGAGGGGGCCCCGGGCGGCAGACTCCGCTGGTCTGCCGTGTCTCTCTCGGTTACCGACGCGTTTCTGTGTGCCTTTGTAGAGACGACGGAGAAGGCTGCATCACTGCCGCTGTGGTGCCAGCACAGGCCGCCGGACTGCGTGGGTAACGGGCCCTTTATACGCCACGACAGGGTCTTTCCAAATGTCCGCTTAACCCCTTTCTCCCCGCGGACACAGAAAGGGTCCAACCACTCAACGACCCGGTGGTCGAGAAATAAGCGACACGTTTCAGAAGAAGGGCGGGTTCCGGGGAGACCTTTCAAAGTAAAACTTCTATACAGACAGTATGAAATCTGCTGTGAGTTTGGGACTGAACCGGTTTACAATTCATTAATGCGAAATTAATAAAAAAAAAAAAAATTTTATATCACTGGTGGAAACGCTTCTAGAGGCATTTCAGAATAAGAGTCTTGCACCTTTTATGAATTTCAAACCTTAGATTTTAAAAGCTTGCTGAATTTCAGTCTTTAAAAATGTGCAAAATTTTCGTACAAATAGAACAAAATTTAATACCAGAAATATTAAAGACATCACTGGTTTCAGACATGGTTTTTATGATGCTGGGACAAGACTAAATTTTAAGATTAGCAAAGAAACACCCAGAGAAAGCCTTCATATAGCCTGAAATGTTAGATGTGTTGGAAAAGTGTGGTTCTTTTCCAATTCAGAGTGGGGGACTGGTCTATAAAAATCAGTTCCCACCCCCATTTCCAGAGGATCAAAAGTAGCTGGAAAAACCAACATTTAGGATGGGAGATAATATGGACTGTTTTAAATGAGAAAATGCAAAACCTGCCTGTCTAGAAACCATGAGCATCACAAAATGCTGGCTCTCCTCTTGCGGAGCTCTGTTGGGCCTTTACTACAGCCACCTTTAGTTGCTGTGGGTCTTTCTGCCTTCAGTTTTGTATGTAATAACTGTAAAACAATACTCTATCGTTTTGAGATTGGGTGACTGAAATTTCCTCTACCATGTTTAACAGATCATACAGGATGCTTCAGATCACCATCGGCCCCTTTTCTTCTCCAAGCTTTTCTCTTCCACTCATTTTGCAGCAAGTCAATTTTGTACCACTGAACATGTTTAGATATTTTTTCTTTATTTGTTATGTTTTTATTTTTTGGCAACATCTAAAAATGCTTGCACAGTGATACTGTTCTTGAGTGGTTTGTAGACTTAATTATAGATGTTGACACTAAGATGCCAGCCTCTTTGAGAGCGTTCCTGACTTAGCTAAATGTTCTGAAGTTATTTTCCTTAACGATGGAAATAATTCTGTCATCATCCACTTCAGGTTTCTGTGGTCTTGCTATACTGACAAGTTCATTCCTTCTTTTTAAGAAGGTTATATAGCACTTTTCTACTCTATCTGAGAAATCAAAGCACTTTACACAACTTGCCTCATTCACCCATCCATACAAGCACTTTTTGCTATGGTCTTTCTGTCAAAGTGTTTTCTATCTATTCAATTCAATTAAATTCAATTCAATTTTATTTATATAGCACCAAATCACAACAAAAGTCGCCTCAAGGCGCTTCATAGATACAGAGAAAAACCCAACAATCATATGACCCCCTATGAGCAAGCACTTTGGCGACAGTGGGAAGGAAAAACTCCCTTTTAACAGGAAGAAACCTCCGGCAGAACCAGGCTCAGGGAGGGGCGGGGCCATCTGCTGCGACCGGTTGGGCATTCACAACATGCTTGTCTTTGACATGTAGACTGGAGGGGACCACCAATCTTCCGATTAGCAGATAATCTGCTCTACCAGCTATTTACGCCTAACTTTCTATTCCTAAAATTTCCTGAAGTTTTTGTGACCTGCCCGATTGGTTTGTTTTGGTGTTTCAGCCTAGTGATGTTCACCTTCACAGACATCATATTCATACTTCCAGTGTACAGCCACCAGAGGCAAGTTCAACACTTTGAACCAATTTTAGCTCTTTTATCTGTTTATTTTGCCATGGAACAACAAGTAAGGAGGCTTCACCTGAGGCTTGTCAGTCAGTTGTCCAATTACCTTTGAGCATCTGAAAATGGGAGATTATGTATAAAAATGCCTGTAATTCTTAAATAGTTAATGAAATGCATTTGTTATTAAACCTTGAATTAAAACTGAATTTGATTGTTTAAAATTCCCTGTGGTGGTGTACAGAGGCAAAATTGCAAAGAATAAGTCATTGTCCATATATACTGACCTCACAGTACCTTAACAGGGGATAACCAGTCTTTTGCTTTAATAACAGAGATGATACCTTTAAAATAAAATTGAATTGAAATTGAATTGAATTGAACCTTTGGTCCACTGAGCTGCTATCATACAAAGCTGTGATGTTAAAAATTCTTCTTGTGTAAGTTGTATGTGAATGGGAGAATTTCTTTTACCACCAACATTCTCCAGCTGATCGGTCTTGTGTAAATCTGTGTAAATCTGTTACTGGATCCATAATTTATTTATTTTTTAAATAATGACAATAATGAGAAAGGCTTTAATATCAGTCCTTCCTGTCACAGAGGTCCCCACATTATAAACTAATTGCACCATATAAACGTTTGAAAACTCAGACATCAAATAAATGCCTCAGAATGACTCCTCAAAGGTTGAATCATTATAATAAGAATACATCAGGCATAAGCACTGAGTGCACACAGCTTAAAGGAACAGTTTCACTGTGCATGGCAGAGATCAGAGTGACAAACCCCAAAACAGGGATGGTTTTACAGACGAGGTCCTCTGAAGTTTTTCCCCTCCTCAGCTTTTCTGTGTTTTCACTATTTTGCGTTTTCTTAGGGTCAGTGTCATTGCTGGTGATACCTGGACCCTACAGAGGTTGTGCAGGTAGTCCAGCTCCTCCAGGCTGGCACATCAATGTGACATCATCATCAGGTTTGCTGTGTCTCCCAGCACAGTGTCAAGAGCATGGAGGAGATTCCAGGAGCAGAACCAGTATCTGCACCTTTGTGCAAGGAGGAACATAATGAGCACTGCCAGAGCTACAAAATAACCTCCAACAGGACACTGGTGTGAATGTGTGGCTGTCGCTGACCAAACAATCAGAAACAGACTTCATGAGGATGACTGAGGGCCCAACGTCTTCTAGTGGGCTCAGTGCTCACTACGTGGCACTATGGAGCCTGGCATTTGCCACCCTGTGTGTTTCGAAGACGGTTCACTCTGAGCACAGGGGACAAACATAAAAGAGTCTGGAGAAACCGTGGAGAACGACATGCTGCTTGTATATTGTTCAGCATGACTGGTTTGGTGGTGGGTCACTGATGATCTGGGGAGGCATATCCACCGAGGGACACACAGACTTCTATAGGCCAGGCAACAGCACCATTAGGTGCCATTAGCTATCAGGATGAAATCCTTTAACCCACTGTCAGATCCTACTCTGGTGCTGTGGGGCCTGGTTCCTACTGGTGGTCTTATTAGGAGCATGCCCCAATGTTATAAGCAATGCATACAAGCACATGGTGGGGCCATACAAACTACTGGGTACCATTTTTTTAATGACATTTTAGTCAAAATGAACGAGCCTGGTGCTACATTTTTTCACTCTGACTTTCGAGGTGTCTTTGAACTCAGCCCTCTGTAGGCTGCTAATTTTATATCCATCAAAAGATGTGCCATCCTTTCATTCTTAACAAATTACCCGATTATTTTTTCCCCTTTTTTCCTTAAGATCTGTGGTGCTTTTGAAGTGCTCCTTTTAAATTTTAGAGCAGTGTATAAATATCACAGGAGGTCTTTTCTGTGCTGTGTTATCAAGATTAAAAGATATCAACAGATACTATTCTCTCTGCTTCTAGTTGTTCTCGCACAGTTTTTGTGATTTCTGGCTTTTGACCAGCACCCAAAGCGTGACAAACTGAGGGACTGGTCTGTCACGAGGAGACCTGAGTAATCTATGTTGTTTTATCTCAGTTTGAGTCTTCAGTAAATATTTAAAGAGATCTGCAAAAGATAGGAAGAAAGGGTGGGGTCATGTTCACCCCATTATTGAGCACCATGAAAGAACTATACACAAACTCTTCAGGAATATAAAAAAGATCTGTATATTCATTCATGTATATGACCTACATAACATACACAACTGTTCATTACGTACGCTGCAGATCAAATTACAAAAACCAAAACAAAGGTTCGAGGATACAAGTGAAACTTTAGCCAAGAAATTCAATTCCATTTTATTTATATAGAGCCACATCAAAGCAGCAGTCGCCTCAAGGCACTTAAAGAAAAAGGCCATTCTGTTTAACAAACACGTCTTTCTGTATATGAGACATATTTTGGAGATAAGCTTTGAAAGAGAAAAAAAAGGGTTTGCATGTTATAAATCCCAAAAGGTTTGTTTTCGCTGCAGATCGGTGATTCTTCCAGAACGTCAAAAATTGAAATATATACTCCAGTGATGACGCACATCTGCTACAGCCTTTTCCCAGCTTATCTGCACGCACACTCACATTCACAGTCCAGGATTACGCAGGAATTTCTGCTCTGTCACTTTTCCACCATAAATAAAGGAGATGGCCTCCTTGGAACAACTAATGTCTTTATTCACGTTGGACTTTTGACTCCTGCACAGCATTTACAGAACAAGAATAAAAGCTTAGTTCATAAACAACAGTGATTCATGTGATACGCATCCTAGCTTGTGTTTAGCCTCCACAGGAGAGTCCACTGTAGCAAGCCAACCCCTGCTCCTGCTCCAAACCTTCAGGCCTGAAACTGGTAAAGCTAATGCAACTTGTAGCTCCAGGTTTAGCTAATTAGAGCAGTAAGGGCTTCCTGCAGAACTACTGTTGACCTCTGACCTCCTCACATTCCTAAAGTACGTCGTCCCAGGCCTCATGATTCGGATCCCCAGGAGAAGTCGGAATGAGTTAGGAGACACGCGACTGATCAAACCACAGGCCTGATGGCAAGACAGTGTGAAGCCTGCCAGTGTTTACTGTCTGAGAATGGAATGATGGGTAATGGCTGACGGGTTACTACTGGCAGGAAGTCAGGGCACATTCCCCCAGCGACTGACCAATCAGACGAGAGGTGTCAAGCAGAGTCAATACATGGTCAAAGGTCAGAAAAGCAGGTTTGGCATGGCCAGCTGTCTGTTTGAATCTGCCGTGAGGGAACACAGAGGGGTCGTTGAAAGGACTTACCTGGGCACAAGCCCAATGCCCGAGGGCTTCACCTGCAAAATGTCACTGACACAGACAAAAACAAAACCCAAAGCAAAGA